TTTAACCCTTGGCCACCAGCTGTCATAGTGTGGATAAATCCTACCCTTTCCTATTTACAATGAAAAATATTTTCTTTCTGCCTCCGTAGTTGCAGAGAGTGAAGAATGAATATGGGAGGGAATATGGCAATGTCAGCCTTAAACTTTTTAGCTTTTACTTTAATTGCACTCTCCAATATGCACCCCCCCCCCTAAGAATTATGTTACAATATACAATATGACTTCTCGTAACACTTAAGCCTGTACTACATTACTGGGTATTTCTTGGTGACCAGTGAGTGTATTTTTTTTCTTTGAATGACTGATGTTTTTGGACCACCCAATTTTTTTAGCTATCAAACTTGAGAAATATTACCTAGCCTTGTTTTTGTGATCTTGCAAGTGATCCACATGTTAAAAAACAGTTGGCAGTAAATTTAGACCAGTACTCTTTTTTTTTTTTTTTTTTAAGTGCCAGTTATTCTGATGGATATTTTCAGTTTTCTTCCTAAATAGCTCCAACTAAAACATTTGTGTTTTGATCAATTGCAATATTCTACAGACTGACACTTTCCCCCCCCCCCACCTACAGATAAAGGGATATTTATTATCCAAAGCGAAGACTCCAACTTGTGCATTAAAGTGGACACCGTTGGCCTTGTTCTGGAAGACTGCGATCAACTCTCAAAAGACATGTTATGGAAATGGGTGTCCAATCGCCGTCTTTTCAACATAGGCAGAAGTACCTGTCTGGGACTGAACATCAGTAGGCCAGAGCAGCCATTGAGTATGCTTGAATGTGATTCAACTCAATACTCGTTATGGTGGAATTGTGATGGAGAAGCGTTAGTTGGTGTATCAGAGTACAAATTAGCTGTTGAAAACAGCAAACGTATTGTGGCCAAAAAAGAATCTACTTATCATTGGAAGCAGTACATGTCCTATGATGAAGACCTTTGTGAACACCCATTTCAAGGTAAAAATAAAATTTTGTCATAGAAATGTAAATCGGAAAAGCTTTCAAAAATTCCTTTGAAGCAAGGTCAGGCGCTTATGATCCCTTCCAGCCTCTGTTGTGGTTTGGGACTCAAGGTTTTTTGTTTTGGTTTTTTTTTTTATATGCAGTGATTGAGGTGAGCATACCACACGATTTTGTTATATGGACCCAAAAAGCCACCAGTATCCTTGCAAACCAGGAAATGCTTGTTTCAAATCCTCTATAAAATAAAAAGGGGATCTCAGGATTTGCTGTTGCCTGTTCTGCAGCTTTCATTATCAGATAAACCCGAAGAGAGATAGTGAAGGATTTGGAATTCCCATCACTGAAAATCAGCCTGTGATCACAGCGTGCATGAACCGAATGTTTGCAACATTCAGCACCTGAACGCTGAACGTGCCAGACTGCGGAGCAGAGATCAGGCTTTTGATTAATCCTGCTGTACAGCTAGCAAAGGTGTAGGAAAGTATGTCAAGATCCAGGTCTGCAGACCTGAACAGTTTTCCGGGTATAAGGACCAAGATAAACCCATTGACCACAGGCTGTACCTTGACCCCTTCCTGGGCATTTCTGTAGAAGGAAAGACCTAATGTTTGCACAGTGTGTCTCAGACTGGAGCTGTTGATTCTCCCCGTTTGAACTGGGTGTTTGGGTTGCAGATCTGGTCTCAGTGGTTTCCTCCATAGGTGTAGCCAGGCCTGGCCTCTGCTAACTCCAGAGTCGTTCCTTTGGGAGTTGTGATAGCTGGGAATGCACTATAGCATCCAGCCTCCTCTTTAAACCTATTGGAGTTTATACTTCAGATATAAAATATTTAAACCCACAAAAAGTCTTGCTCATTTGCTATGTACACATAGCGAGATGAAAGTAGACCTGGTTTAGCCCTAGTACTGCAAGGTCTGGGAGATGAGGATCAGCCTTAGGCAGGTGCTTCTAGCCTAGTTTCAAAGTAAGTAATTGTGTTGGCAAAATCTCTTCACCTCCAATTTTTATTTTCCTCCTCCTCCCTTAGCTTATGCACATGCAAACGCAAGCCAGCCTGTTAGTCCACCAGGTTGGGGGGGCATCTCTACCTTCAAAGAAAAAATGTATGTAACTGTGGTGAGAAGTCTGTAACTTGAACTTCATTTCTTGCCAGGACTGGGATAATCCCTTGCACCTTCATAGCTAGCAGCATGGTAGCGGGCAGACAGAGAAACAATCCTGATTTTTTTTTTTTTTAACTCATGTTCTTTGTATCATCTGTTCATATCAGAAGGCTTTAAAGGGGATTTACAAAGTGTAAACTGCTTTTTTATGTGTGTGCAGCCAGCCATTAACTCTGGAAACCTCTAGGAACCTGGCAGTGTGTACTGATTCTGTAGTTGAAGGACTTTGATCTTTAGGCTATCAACATGGGATCTTTGACAAACAATTTCATTCAAAGTGTGATTGTGGTTCTTTGACCTTTTGTGGAAGCTCTGAGGTTGAGGAGATACTCGCTGAGGTAAAGCTTTTACAGCTTTTGGTTGCACTGGTTTCTCTCGATATTTTGGTACTCCAAGTACAATAGAAAAATATTTAAAATATTTTGTAAGGCATTAATTGATTGTGATAACAGCTGGATGTAACATCAGTTCTTTAGCTAGGTTGTTATTCCCCATGGTAGAAAAACTTATTTTTAAAAGTTCATTTAATATTCTTTTGTCTTTCATATTTCCTTTCCCATAGAATGACAAATAAAATGGAAAAAACATTATAAATCCAGTTTATAAAGAGTGGGAGGAGCATGGGAAATAATGCTAAATTGCTCGTCTGTCATAGACTAACAAATAAAAATAAGTAGAGCTTGCATCTCAGCGTGTACTGATTCTGCTAACTATTGTTTTATGTAGTTGTTCTGAAATGTAAGTGCAGATTTTATATGTTAATTGTTCAGGTTTTGCATTGGGTTTTTTTCAATTGTACTAAGTTATGAGAATGTGCCTTCTTTCGTGGTGACAAATTTCATAAACTATTACTTCCAAATTCTGTTCACTGAAGTTACGCTGCTCATACTTGCAATGCTGTGTTATCAATTATAAATTAAAATTAGAAAATAACTTTAGACATTTCATTTTTATTATTTCTGCTAAAAAGAGGAATACTGAAATATAGGGGTGAAGGAATTTCTGTGGTCTGCATTCTTTTAATCTCTGCATTTTGTTTATTCCAGAAACATATACCTTGCTGGGAAATTCTTTTGGTTTCCCATGCATTTTTCCATTTAAATATAACAACAAATGGTATTATGAGTGTACCAGAGATGGAAAGGAATTTGACTGGTGTGCTACAACAACTCACTATGAACAAGATGAAAAATGGGGGTTTTGCCCAAATGCTGGTAAGATGTCGCTTGTCTTCTCTTTCCCCCTGCTCTCCAAGAGCATCTCTGCTCTTTATTAGTAATTCTAGGACGCACTCTGTTTTGGATTACTTCTCTTCTGTTAGAGGGGAATGTCTCTTAAAAAAAAAAAAAAAAGGCAAAAGAAGACTTTAGCAAATTTTATGATAATTTATCATGTTTGGTCTTTGGAGACCCAAGTCCTCATCTCAAAAGTAAAACTACAGGAGGTGAGCAAGAGGATGTTATTCTGTGCAGCCCATTGACCTTCCCCTGCAGCTGAACCTCTCTCTCCTCTGTCTCTGATATATCAGGACCTTCTCCGAAGCATGTGAAGTTGCTCTTGCAAAGTCACGTTCTGCTTTTGAACTGCATTACATCCTGCACGTTCCTTTTCTTCTGTGCACTACTTGGACACGTCTTGGGCCTAAAACACTTAGAAGCAATAGCTTTAAAAATACTTGCTGTCGGAAAGATTTTGGATGTATAATCTTCACGAATATTCCAGCTTCTTGCATAAACAAAATAGTATCTTCTATAAGCAGAAGTCATTTGGAAAAGCCCTGCTTAAGCTACGTTTCAGATCTCTATTCAAAAGCATCTTAAAAACAGGTGTAAATGTGTCTTTGTAATGGGGATTTCTGCGCCACTGTTATAATAGATGGCATTTTCAGCCTCGCTTATACTTTGTAATTACAGTAAGTTTATACTCTTGCATACAAGATACAAGGAGATCCAGTGACTGCTCCTCCACAAGTTGGGTGAGGTGTTCATAGTTTGAATATTTCAACATTCAACTTTAGGAACAAATGATCATTTGGTATAAATTAAAATGGAGCTCTGCTGGCTTCATGAGAGTTCTGAAAATCACCACCAGCTGCAGATCAGTTCCTGAGTATTTTATCAACCGTATGAAATACAGAGCAACATTTTATTCCGTTAGTGCCCTATTGCCATATGTTCTTTAACAAAGGAACATGAAAGGAGTTCATAATCGTGCTTCCATTGGGATGCTGCTGTCATTAATTAGTTTAATTGTTCAAGGTGTTGTATTTCTGATGAGTTTGTAGTCTTGGGCTGCTGGTGACAAGTCTGTTTTTGAGCAGAGAGCGGCTGCGACGTTTTTTGGAAGAAGAACCCCGACACGCACCTTTGCTACCAGTTCAACCTTGCGTCTGTGCTGACCTGGCATGAGGCACGGGCTGCCTGCCAGCTGCAGGGAGGAGACCTGCTGAGTGTCACCGACCCCGAAGAGCAAAACTACATAAGTAACTTAAGCAGTGAGTAGACATTTCTCTGGGGACCTTGTAGGAAACCTGTAGTTAGATTTCCTCTTTACCCGTGAAAAAGGGGTAAGCTTTGGAGCTCAATAGTCTGCGTGATGTCTCTCCCATTGCTGCTTGTGAGGCTTCGGCACGTAACACACCTCGGTAGAGCTGTTTGAAAAAGCAAGGGTGAAGGTGAGTTACCACCTCAGTAACCCGGGTGCAGAAGTAGTGGTATGTTTATGTGAGGGTGTAATTGTCTTAATTCTCCCTCCCCACAGAGACTCCCATTCATTCTTGCAGCCGTGGTTATGGAGTGGTTTTGTTTTCTTTGGAGAATTATACAAATATTTACCTTCTCTGCAATGTACCCTGGTGTCCCTTTCTCCTGTTAAGTTTTCTGTGCAAGCTGGACTTCACCAAATGTGAATGGCAAGAACATTTCTGCAGGCTTAAAGTAAATGTCCTGAATGGGGAAAAATGCCAACTCTGTTTTCATAATGGGACGGTATTCCTTCTCTGATAAGCCTTTTGCTTTCCCCTGTGCAGCAAGCATCTCGGACAAATTTTGCAGAGCCTTCTGACAGCATGGCTTTCGTGGGTATTTTAGCGTGCGTGGAGAGGACCAAGCGGAGGAATGGGCGGTAGGGCTGTGAGGCAAAAGGCCGTCTCAGGTTTCTTGCCCATTACTTCCCATTATTGCTGATTTTCAATTGCAGGATATAAGGTAGCAGGAAGTTTTTAAAATTATTTCATTAGCTTTTTGATATGCCTGAGGGCTGTAAAGGGACTGGAAGTTGTTTGGTTTACAGAAGGCCGAAACAGGCTCGCGTTTGTGTGCTGCTTGTTCCAGGTTTAACTTCTAAGGCCAGCAATAACTTCTGCAGGAAAGGTTTGCAGGATGAGTAGCTTTTGAAGGATGCAGACTTCTGAGTTTGTTCCTTTTCATCTCTGTGTTGATTAACAAAGTAATAAACTTTTTCTCAGGACAGAAAAAAACCAGCCTGAACTTTCTGGAGACCTATTTGAAGTTTTGTTTTATTCCTATTGTAACAAGTCAGGACAGCAGATCTATACCTGTAGGTATTTTAAAACATGGGGAAAGCATGAAGTATTACTTTATTTTTTGTGTTTCAGGGCAGTTAAACGCCACAGACATGATGCTGTGGATGGGTCTGAATCGCCTGGAGGAAGATGCTGGCTGGCAGTGGTCAGATGGAGCACCGCTCGTGTTTGTGAACTGGAGAGCAAGTACTTGGTGTTCCTCTTGGCTATGTTATAGCAGTGTAGTTACATGCTCTCTGTAACAAGACTGCTGTTCCTACAGCTGCATTTGAAAAGTGAATCAAGTGATTGAGTGTAGCTCTTTTTTTTGGTAGAAATTTATTCATATTCATGAACTAAAAGCCCCATCTAGGGATGTAGCATCAGTTGAGATGGATCTGTTCAAAGCATTAATGATCTGGTCCTTTCGTCCTTTACTTTTAAAGTGGTTTCAACATTCCAGTTGCGTATTTAAAACCTATGCTCTAGCTTGTTTCATGGAGGAGTTTCAATTTGTTTACATTAACATGCTGTAATTAACATTAGCACATTAATATGAACTTTGTGACTTGGTTTGCTATATTTTGAGGTCTGTCCACCAGCAGATACAACATAGACACTAGAGCTTATTTCAGCCTCTCATCTGATAGCAGCAGCCAAGGAGGGATTGCCACACATGTATGGTCAACGTTCAGCTGTCCGTAGTATTGGTGTAATATTACTAGAAGTTTGGGTGTGCGGGGATGTTTATACATTCATTCAATAAGATGCAGAAACCTTACAACACCATTTTGCAAGTAAGAACTGATTTTTTTATAATTTGTGCTTCTCAAAAATGTGTTTGCAGATGTCTCTGATAACCATTTTAGAGAAAATCATTGTGCAGTGTTTAATTCGAAATTGAAGTATGGCTGGCAAAGTTATTTATGTGAATCTGGATTGCCTTTTGTATGCAAAAAATATTTAAAGAAGACAGAGCATGAAACATTGGGTAAGTCTCTCAATGTTACTTACATCTTATTTGTGGGTGTGGAAAGAGAACAAGAGGAAGCCACCTGAACATAAAGTCAGCAGAACAGAGTCTTAGCTGGACTAAATGTATGGGTTTGCTAGTTTAAGTTGAGTACAGTTTACTTTAACTGATGTAATAGCACTTTCTTCTGTTTAAATGCAGTCCTGAAAAACATGTCCAGAGTCTTAAAACTAACAAATAATCTTAATATACATAGCATTTAATTGGTTCCTTCCATGATCAGAGGCTTACAGAATGCTCATTCTCTTTATCTTACAGTAGAGCCACACTTTTGAGTTTAAAAATAGGTTTTCAGCTTTGAATGGAGTTAACCAGTGGCCCATAGAGAAGAAAGTTGTATAAATGCAACTCAAAATTTGCAGTTATTTTTATGTCATGCTGTACTTTCAATACACAAAAAAAGCATTGTACATATATTTTTAAAGTGTTTATATAATGAGCATAGGATATATAGTACATAGAATGCCTCAGACTCCCGCTCTGTGGGAAAATTAAACACAGAATTGAGTTTATTAGAACATTAATTTTTGTTTTGATAAGAACAAGTTACACAAATTCAACTTCTTCCTAATAACTGAAAAGAAAGTTTCCCTACTTGTTTCAGTTAATGAGGTCATGCATCTGAAAAAGCTTTAGCTGGTTTTGAATTGGATTCGGAGGTAATAAGGGAGATATAAGATGTTTTAAACTGAAGAGCAGATCCATTAGTGTGTTTGCACTAGTCTAGCAGCCCAAATGGTCGAATCATAAAAGAAAGTGGGAGAAATTTCAGTTTGCTTGGTAGGTGATGTTCCATAGAGCATGTGTTTTGGCCTCAAGTCATCTTGAACAACTGTTTTCAGCATGTGAAGGTAAAAAATACAGCTCTGAATGCATTATGAACATAGCATAACCTTGGCAATTCTATCTAATATACGCAAACTTTGTATGCTTAATTAAAAGATACATGGAAGTATTATGCCACTCGTTGTGACGCTGGCTGGTACCCACACAACCGCAACTGCTACAGACTTCATAAAGAGGAGAAGAGCTGGAACGATGCTTTTATCTCATGCCAAAGTGACAATAACGAGCTCATTAGTATATCCTCCATGGCAGATGCAGAGCTGCTCCTTAACTTGCTTGAAAGTGGTGAGTTTGGGGAGTTGGTGTACTACGTGGTGTTTGTTGAAGTGTTTCATGGTGCTTTTTTGTGCGGTCCTTTGACACTGTTAGCCACTAAAGCACTATATTACACGGCACACCCAAATGATGTTTACAAAAAAGGAAAGCGTGATGCATGCTCCTAGGAGTCTTAAAAATGTATAACATCACCCTATCCAATAATCATACTTCAGATAAAGAAATGAATCAACAAATTAAACACAGTGAAACCACAGTAAACACTAGCTTTTGTCCTTTCCTGTTCTTAGCTTGTTCCTTGCAAAGTGTTTCACAATATTCAATGATCATTCTTATGCAAGAATTGTGCTTAGAAGCGACAACTATTCAGAGTATCTTTTGTTTTCAAGCTGCCCTTGTCCACACTGCAAAGTTGCTGCCGCTGGTATGTTGGCAGAGTCCCCTTTGATGGCAGCGGGGTGCGTCAAAGGAGTTCAGCGAGTCCACAGTGCCCTAAGAGGTAGCATAATTGCACAAGGAACTTAATGAACAAAAGCTATTAGGGGCAGCAATGCCAAGACTTTTGTTGTCATAACAGCAACAAAGACAAGTGAATATTTTGTGCCTCCAGCTGACACCGGTGTGCTGGCAGAGCTGCACAGTTTGGCCATGAGTTTAAGCTTCCCAGAGCTGGGGCACAGTGACATGGTTTATCAGCTCTGTCCCATCAGCTGTGGTTGCAGAAAGGTGCACTACACTGGATTTACTGGACATCATCTCCCATTGTCATCCCTCCTGCCACCCATCCTCTTTGCTGGCCTGTCTGTATTTCTCCTGGGAGATTAACCACTGTATCATCTTCTTCGCTTCTATTAACACCCTCCATAGATAGCAAATACCACTTTTTCCAGAGATGCTGTAATGGGTAGATGTGATTGTTCTCAGCTTGTATTCAGCTTCAAAGTCTGCTGCTTCTGTTTCAGGCTTCCTTTCAGGAGAAGGGCTGGCGTGCCTGAAAGCCTGTCTACTTTTTCTAGCTGTAGTAGCTGGTCAAATAAGACATTACATCAAACCACAAGGCTTGTCATTCCTGTGTTTGCCAGCCACTGTGGCTACAACTGTGCTGGCACTGGAGCTTAGAAGCATCGCTCAGACAAACCTAAAGCTGAGTGTGCCATGGGAGATTATAAAAAGAAGTCTTTCCCTTCCATGCCAGGCTTTCTGCCCTGTGCACTTCAAAAAAAGTGCCTACGTTCTTGATTGGTATTTTTCAGGATTTCAAATCATATTATCATGTACATTGTTCTATTTTTCAAACAGTTTAGTCTTCAAGGGCAGTAGAACATTATCTCATCGGTGAGGTTTCCTAAAGTTTATACAGCTTTTTTTTTTTTTTTTCCCTGAAAGAAGGTTGTTCTTATGAAAAATCCATGAATAATTTTTAATAGCGGTGTTGATGTTACAGGAAAAACATGCATTATTTCTTCACCATTCTTCACTTATTCTTTTACAGAAAATGTAACTGAAACATGGATTGGGCTATACAGTAATAAGACCCCAGTTGTTTTTGAGTGGTCAGATGGCACCCCAGTAAAATTCTCTAACTGGCACAGCCAAGAACCTAACACCTTTCAAAGAACAGGACAACTCTGCGTTTCAGCACAAGGATCTGTAAGTTTCCTTTTATTTTTGAAAGGATTAGACAGATGCTTTTATTGTGGCTCATAAGAATTTATTTTCTCAGCATGCGTACTTTTCTAAACCATGAGCTGTAGACTTTGTCTTTTGATTCCTAATATAATCACGCTATGATAAATGCAGTGTAGCCTTTAGAAACCAATACATTTTGCAGTGCTGATGCACAGAAAATTAATGATAGGTTTTGAGCTTATGGTCAATAAAAAATGTTACATATGTAAAGCTTGCCAAATGGAAGAGAATAATTATGAGTGGGTATTTTGATAAAGACAAAGTAATTTAAAATCCAAGTAGTGTGTATTATAATTTAGGGTGCATTAGTCTCTGTCTTGGAAGCTTCAAATTCATGTTTTGAAAAACGGTGAGCTGTGCCTATTTTATCTCGCTGTCAATATTTATAAATTTCATGTAGTATCTTTCAAAACTAGATAGAAATCTATATCTACTTAAAATTATAGAAGTTGACAGCAGTACAGTTGACCCCAAAATCAGCCAGGTGTTGTAAAACTGGCAGTAATGTTCAAATAATGCTACATCATGTCCAATCACAACTCGTGGCACTGTCAATTTTTACATAATTTGGACATGAATTTATTTTACTTCTACAATTAACAGTACTTAAATTCACTAATACATGACTTACATAAGAAGTACTATAATCCATTTTTTTTTTTTGTAAAGTATGTTTTGTTGAAGTATGAAAACTGGATCAAAAAGAGTTTCTGTTATCACTCCGGTAGTGGGTCCAGGTTGCAATCTTTATCTCATGGGAAAGACAAGACACTTACAGTGACTTGGAAAAGTGGGTTCCCATCGGAAGCAGAAAATAGGACTTTGTAAAATTTGGGGGTTTAGATACACAAAACTGTATTTTACTGTTTGTAAGTGTAAACAAACAAATGAAAATGTAAGATAGGAAAAGGAGGTTCAAAATATAATTCTTCAAGCATTATTTTTGGTACATGTCCAGTAAGTATAGATGTCTGAAAATTATATCATACAAACTTTGTAATATCTTGAGTAAGGACTGTTCAAATATAAAGGTTAGTCTTACAAAGAACTACAATAGATAGGAAGAAAGTTCCTATCTATTATGAAAAGTGCTCTGGCATGGCCATAGTGTTAGTTAATTAAAATGCATTACATCACAAAGAGTGATTCAAAGAGACAAACCCTTTTGTGTGATTGATTTCAACAGTCTGGCTGACAGTGTTGGTAAAAATAAATGATCCATTTAAGGATAAATAAATGGAGTGAGAAAAATTATTTGGTTTTACTGAAAAGTTAAAATAGGAGGAGGGAGTGTAATCTAATGTGTGTGTATAGATATGCATGAGAATATGAGTGCGTACAGAACAGTACTTCTTTTATTCCCTTAGGCGGGACATTGGAAAGTTAAAAAATGCGAAGACAGATCTTTCTACATTTGCAAAAAAGCAGGGGAATTTAATCATGTATCTCCTGAGCTGGAATCAAGTTGTCCAGAGGTAAGGGGTTTTGTGGGTTTCGTTCATTTTAGAGCCTTACTAATAAAATAGAATTATAAAGGAAACCTCTAAACATAGCTACAGAACATATGGATGTAAACAGATAATGTTAGGTTTTCGTATTAATGACACGCATGTTTTGCTAGGAAAAAATCTCATTGTTTGCCTTAAAAGTATGTAAACTAAATTTTAATGTAAGATTAAAAGCTTTCCCAAGATGCCTTTCATGGCTCGTTGTGTTGTCAGCGGTTGTGACCCAAGTTCCTATTTCTTTCTAGATCAAAAGTGAAAACCCTTTTGTCCACCATCTGTGCAAATAATGGCTGTTATATGATGCCTCGTCCCACACATGGTTTTCATACATTGAAGTGGAATGTCAGGGTGAAAAACAATCAGGTTCATTGACACGGAGAGTGAACTCTTCCACTCGTACATTAGCATTCCTTTTACTTTCAAACAAAAATGGGAAGGAGCACAGCTATCTCAATAGGATATTGCAACAGGTTTTCAGGCTTTTAGGCTCTGCATTCTGGAAGTAAAAGGCAACGTGTTAAAATATTTTATTTACCATCAGTTCCTTTTCACTGTGTGAAAAGAACAAATGTAGACTTTGTGGTGTTAAAATTTTATTCAAAACTCTGGAGGAGTTTTGTGAACAACTTTTTTTTTTTAATCAAAAAAAATCTGTCTTCTTTAGCTCATTCTCTTCCTTTTTTAATTACTTGTCCTTTTTCATAAGTCAAGAAAGATGACTTGGTTGAATTATAAGAAGGTCGAAGCTGAACTGTTTGGAGTTGGATGCAGTTTTCCCCCAGATGTACAGTGGTCAGATCCAGCGTTCTGGTCATACCATTATGGAGGCAGAAGTTACTGCTTGGTTCCAGCTTAACATTTCCAGAAGTTTAGAGTAACTTCGTTCGTTTTTATTTGGACCAATGTATTTCATCGCTCAAGAATTCTGTGTGTTACTAGTGTAAGAAAGGTTTGTCACAGTCCTGACTGTGTGAAAAAAGTGCAGAGCATCAAGACTTCCAGTTGTAGTCAGGAGCTTGACAGCACTTCAGCTTCTGGTGCCCCACAGGATCAAGACTCAAGAGATTGAGTCACTGGTCATAGGTGGTTTGGTCTGCTCTGGCAAACTGCCTGCTCAGGATAAATTTCTGCTTGTTGATGTTTCACGCCCTGTAAAAACATATGCTGAACCCTGTTATCGAAACCCTGGTTTTGATAGATCCGTTTCTGTCTAATGTGACAAAAGTTATATTCATTTCATCCAAAGAAGTCAGTACTAAGCTTATTCAAAGTTACATTTGATTTCAGACATTTTGTCTTGACAACTCACTTTCTTGTAACATTCAATGTATGTTCTGTTAGCTATTGGCCTCATTTTCCAAGGCTAAGATTTTATGTCATCCAGATTTACCTTTTCTCCCATTTTTCTGTTGCTAACTTACCTTAAATGTACAGAATATCTGCTGGTGTTTCTCACATTTGATCTTCTGCTTCGTTAACCTCGTTCTGTCATTCCTGTTGGATTGCTAGTAGATTCTCAGGGAGCTTTGGCCTTGGGCACAGTTGTTTGCTTTTCTAAAGCTTTATAGTCTTATGTGTTATTACTGGGCTTTCATCTCATGTTGATTTTACAACTTGTGCATCAGATGAACTAGCCTTTAACATTTTGTGTGGTTCTGCTGATTGCAGGTTTTGCAGTATGTCCATATCAAGTTACCAGAAACCCGAGCTCCTTTTTTCCTACATTTCTGTCATCCTAAGACATAAAAAGTGCTAAGCACTTTCTTCCCTTAGCAGGTCAACTATTCTTTGTTTCCTAGTCAGCAGGCTATTAGGAGAATAAATATTTTATTGCAAAGGTCAGATTCTCTGGGCAGTTTTCCCCAACACTGAAATAACAGGTTTTTAAACATTTTCTTTCAGCCGGCTTTTGAAACAGGTTGTGGAGCTGTCAGCTGCTTGATAATCGCGTTGGAGATTTCTGTGCGCAGAGCTGACTGTATTTGTACTGGTGACTTTCTCCAGTCCTCTACACTTTAATTAGTGCATCAAAATCTCACAGTATAGTACTAAATTGAATGTTTGTCTCTATAGCTGTTGTAACAGGAGAGAATCAGACTTTTAAGAAGAGAATTGCTGTTACAAAACCACGTAAAGAGCAGAAGGGTGGCTGCTCAGAGTAAGGGTCCGTTTGGCCGCGTGTTCTGCCTCCGTGCAGCTGGCTGCACAAAGTGCCGTTTGGGGAAGAGCAGGACTGGGCAAATACAGATAAAACTTCCCCCAGTTTTCCCTTGACGCGCCCGACTGTTCTGGGGATTTCCTGAGCCTTTTAAGATTTGTGTATCTAACAGCCCGCTTTGGATTTCCCCTCCAAGTGCTTGATGATTTCCCCTTGAACTCAGGCGAACTCTTTGCATTCACCGCGTTACTTGGTGAGGAGATCTATAAACCTACTACCCTTTGAATGAAAAAATGCCACTGTCTTTCCATGCTGAACCTTCCTCCTGCTAGTTTAGCTTTGTTTGTCGTCCCAGAGGTCTTGTACTGAAGTAGTTGCCCACCCTCATGGCACTCACCATTTTGTAGACCTGTGTCGTACCCTCCTTAAGGCATCTTGTTTTTCCAGGTAGCGGAGTCCCAGCTGCTCAGTTACTGCTGATGTGGAAGCAGCTCCATACATTTCATCATCCTTGATGCCTGCCTTTTCTAATATCCTGTTCTGAGATTGGGGGTCAGAACTGCAAAAAATGGCAAAACTGAAATTAAAAGGACAGAGTAACCTTCTCTGTTCTTTCTCTCCTCACAATTCTTAAGGCTTAATTTGACTTTTTGACTAAGCTCATGTTTCATGAAACTTAACCATCATAACCCCCAAATTTCATTCCTGCACAGTGGGAGCGAGATAGCATACATTAAATGATTGGGGGATGCAGGGGAAATCCCCGTGCGCATCACTTCATATTTATCTGTACCAAATGCCATCTGCCACTTTACTGACCAATTACTCAGCCTTTAAGTTGGAATTTCTCAATCTGTTCTTGCCCTCAATGCAAGCTTACTTGCCTTCAGTTACTCCACACTTTTGTTATTTTTTTTTAAAGTGAAGATTAGCGTCAAATTACTCTCCTCCATTCTTTAGGCACCAAGAAGGTTTTAAGAGGAAGATTATGCAGTGCCATTTGCTCCAGATTAAAATTTCCGAGAAGTTAGGGTGATTACGTTTGCCTCATTTGAACCAGTGCATTTATCACTCAAGAATTCCAGCTGAAGGAAACCAGACGCTTGTTGTTTCTCACCTGCGTCCCCATAGAGGGTTTTTTAGTCAATACTTAACCCTCTTCCAGCCACTGCTCCCCGAGTTCAAGCGCGCATCAAAGGGAACGTGGCGTCGCTGCGCCCCTGCGGGACTGCCAGGAGCCCGCTAGGTCCCCGGGCGCCGCAGAGCCCTTGGTGCCTGCCAACGCATTTTTCCCACGGGGAGGTCCCAGCTTGTTGGTACGGAGATAGGGAAGAGCCTCCACCCGGTTGTTTATTTCTGTTTGCAAAGCCAACGTCTGAGCAATGCATACGTGTCGTTCAGGTGAAACCGCAGGAATTGATCCTGCAGTTTGTTTTGCTTCTGTGCGTTTTGTGCCCTGCCGCCTTCCAAGCACTGAAGAGGGGTGACAGTGAAAGGCAGCAGAGCTGTCAGCCACCCTGACAGCAAACGCGCTCCTGACTGGAAGCTGAAATTTGCCTCCCCAGATTCAGCAGGGCTGAAGGATGTGCACGATGTTTGCTTGCTCTCCTGAATAGGTCTGCAGCATCTGCTTGTGCGTTTTGTCGTACCTGAGGACGGATAGCAGAAAAAGGGCTTATCCCTTTCCCCTTTCCTCTCCTTTTGCTGTTAACGTCACCATCAAGCGCTGTTTGATGGCGTGCAGCTGGGTGCTGTGCTTGCTCCTGGTTGTGCCGCTTCGCAAGCTCCCCGGCAAGCAGCAGCTCCCTCACGGAAGAGGCAGAGCGAGATCGGCCGGTTCTCCTGTCTGTGTGCGGCTTCAGGGTAGATTGGACAGAGATGGTTTATCATCTCTTTATTATCTTGATTATTTCAAACACTCAAACAGGAAGACCAGGCAGGTACGCCACATGAACTCACGCAGGCAGAACTCACAGCAGTCCTGGTAGCATCTTCTGGACACCCAGAGATGAATAATAAGAAATAAAAAATTAATTAGGCAGGCTGACCGCTGACTCAGTGTTCTGGCTGATCTGATAAACCATGAAAATGTGTCCTTTTAATTCTGCATTCTTAGAGTAGGATGATTGTTGATTTAATTTTTTTTTTTTATTATTATTTGGAAGCTCTATTTGAAAATGAGAAAGGGAGCTGAGAAAAGGTAAATAACTAGAGTGCATTGCTGTATGAAAGGCCAGCAATTTCTGGAATAAATATTTCTTTTTACAGTTGAATACAAAGGGCAGCTGTAATCCTTTTTAATAACAACTTAACTGAATCTGACATGGCAGTGTTTACCCTGCACTTCGGGTATTAGATATCAGCAGTGAGTTACCACAAGTGGAAACCAACAAGTGCTACTACATGCTTCATGCAAAGAGATGGCTATCGGAGGGGGCTGCGTACCTCCCCAAAATCCATCAGTAAAACAATATTCAAAGTATAAAACTGAAACAAAAGTAGTGTGCGGGGAGAGTGCCTGAACTGTCGCTCGCATTTTTGTCGTACCCGTTAAAGATGTTACCGTGCCCGCGTGTGTGTTAAGCCAGTTTTTGCACAATTTAAGGATTTAAACTTCAAGCTTTTGTTGAATTTACTTACGTTTTCAGTGACCTTGAGGGTAACTACTCTTGAACCACGGTAGAAAGGAAAAGGGCTATAGGGACGTCAGCGATGATCAGACACAAGGTACAAAAGGGGATCAAGTTTTTAACAACTATATAATAATTAATAATCTATAAAATAATGTTCATTTCTTTTAAGGGATGGGAAAGACATGGTGGATATTGTTACAAAATCGACAGTACCCCTCGAAGTTTTGAACATGCTTCCAGTGGTTATTTCTGCCCATCTGCACTTGTATCAGTAACAAACAGGTAGTTAATCCTATTAGACAGCGTGAAGATACCTCTAACAAGAGCTATTCTAACTTTAGAGAGTCTTGCATGGCAAAAGATATTACCAGTATGAAATAATACTTGCGTGAGAGGCAAGCATAATTACTAACATTGGCTAAAATCAAAGGTATGCTTTGCTTTATCTTTTAAATAAATTGAAATAAATTGAAAATAAATTCAGTAAAAAGCAATTGTTAGGCTAATAAACACAGCAGTGTGCACACACGAGCATGCAGGAATCTAAACAAAGCGCTTTCTACAGAGGTATGTAACATCTTTAAGAAACTTTATTAGTGTACTTGGAAATTATACTGAAAACTGAAAATATATTTAATTTTTGTAATCAAAATATATCAAATTTTAATCCAAATTAATTAATGCTTTATAAATGTTTCTACCTATGTACGCATTTTATGTGAGTTTTCAGCGAACAGTGAGTAAATGTTTGAAAGCGTTTGAGGTCTGTCTTCCCTTGCTTTGTTCCTGTTTACCTGTACTCCAGCTTCAGCAAAGGCTTTCTCCTCTGCAGATGTCCTGATGCTTGGGTTTTCTCTGATCTCTTAGTGATTTACCCTATATGTTGGATTCCCATCCAAGTTTATGACATACTGATAGATATATTACATACGTATTTTAACCTCCACGTATTCATTGTTTAAAAAAACTCCAGAACGTAAGGAGGAAATCTCCTCTGTCTTTAGGACGGGGGGAGTGCTGTAACCCCCAGCAATCAAATGAATGATAAATGAAATGACATTTTAGGAAAACACAGGCTGCCCCTCATAAGGGTGTACATCGATGGGGATCTGGCCTGCCGGGTGGTTTCAGGATCGTGCACGGTGCATACAGCACTGTACTGCAGTACGACAGTAATCCTTACGGGGAGGATAAAGGACAAATTCTTGCAGCTGAGGACTTGCAGCTCAAACATCACAGGGAGCTGAGGGCACACTGCACATCGCTGGAAGCACATCTTCTGGTTTCTTTTTCTGCTTATTTCTTTTCATTTGATTTTTTTCTGGGCATAGCCATCATTATTTATTATGTTAATTCCCAGTTCCAATGTTGGAGTGCCAAAGGAAGCTTAGTTTAACTTTTTTTCTTTTTTAAATTACTGCTGAGGTTTGTTGTTCTGGTGTGAAAAATGCAAAAACTTTTCATTGTGCCGATCCTAACATATTCATTAAAAAAGCAGGTTGTAGAGGACAGAGTTGATGTGAAAAGAGAACATGCAGAGGAAATGAAAATTAAAGTTCTCAGTCACTCTCAGTGTTATAGATACATTCAATTTTTTACATTAATGAAATTCTTATGGTATTTAGCCACTCTTTTCACAATATGTGAAACCAAGAAGCTATATAAGTCTATCAACCTGGGACTTTGCTGTATATATTTTCATAGGAAGCTGATTAAATGTGCTCATAAACTGAAGCATTTTTTGTATAATGTTATACCAATTATATCTGAATAAAGCACATGTAAGTGACAAATGGGTTACTGTAGGCAACAATTAATACTTCCAAAAAGGTGTAAATCTCTCACATAACTTTAATGAGGAAATTAAGAAGGAAAAAATGATTCCTTCTGTAGTCAGATCAGCTAGTGCTTCGAGCCCTTCAGTTCTGGTTTCTCAGGGCTGTTTTGTGTGTCTGGTTCTAACAGGATACTTCTGTGCAGAGCTGTTTCTTTTCTTTCTTCTGTAGCTTTTTCAGACCCTACTATTTTTTCTCCTTCGTACAAGGAGTGTCTTATTTTTATCTGTGCATCGTTAACATATTCTGTCTTTACATCTTCTAGTATAAGCATTGAGCTTACAAAATCTGAATCTACTGTTTTCCTATGTGCCCAAATGCTGGGTGGGCGGGGAGGGCAAGAATAAGAGGGTAAAATTATGGTTTATACTACAGACTTGTGCCTGGAATTCCCCACAGCATTCTAGAAAGAAAATTAAGTACCTCATATATATTTTTTCTCCTCTTGTGTAATTTAAATCATTTCATGAGAATGATTCACTGAAATACCAGTTGACCTGTTTTATTCTAATAAGGTTTTTGTCTTGATTATTTTATTAAGGTTTGAACAAGCTTTTATCAACAGCATGATCCGTAGCGTGGTAAAATCTGAGAGAACTTATTTTTGGATAGGATTGCAAGACCTTAACAACACAGGAGAATACTTTTGGCTAAGTGCAGCGGGGAAGAATCGCTCCATGAGCTACACAAACTGGAACAAGCACCAGCCACGTGAGTGACATGCTGATAAAGAAAAGAAATGGCTGGGAGGGGGGCGATGCGCGCTCTTCCCCCTGCAGTGGGGGGGGTCCCAGTCCTTTCCTCCCTGCCTGGTCAAGAGAGCAGAGAGAGAGAGATGCGTACGTTTTCTGTCGACTGCGTAACTTCCTTCCATGGATTTAGGTAGATGAGTTGGACGTTGTGGTGAAGCTGGAGCTTCCTTCGCCGTTTCCCACCTGGGCGCCTTTATCGTGGGCTCCCCGGTTGTGGCAGGATGCTGGACGTCGCTCGTCCCACCCCACTGCGGTGGCAGGGGGAAAATTAACATTTTCTCCATCGTCTGTCAGGAAGACAAAGTAATATAAAAACTTGTGAGTCTGAGAGTTGGAGGTGATCTCCTTTTCAGCAGCAGTCACTAGGAACAGAATGAATCAGGATATAGATGTACTTTCTTTTTCTGTGAGATGTTTTTCATACATTTCTTCTCCTTTTCAAGGAGGCCATCAGGGCTTTCCAAGACTCCCAGCAAAAGATCCCAGAGAAGTCATGAATTTTATTCAGTAACAGTCACAGTCTGTAATTTTGCATTTAATATGAAAAAAGAGGGGAGAGTTTGTCTTAGATATATTTCTGGCAGTAAGAGCACTGCGTGGAAGTTTTTTCTACATCCCCTTTAGTTTGCTGATACTTGGTTTGATGGTTTGATTTTGTTTGTTTTATATTAATCCAAATGAAAACATTCCAAGAAAACAAAAACAAAAAAATAAAGTAGTTGTTCATCCTTTGAAAGGTAAACCTCTTAGCAATTCCTGAGAATAGAGACGTAATAACAAAGACACTCCATTTCACTAATTGATTCTGAGTTTTGGACTTTTAACGTTTATTGCTTTACTACTGCAGTTTGCAAAAGTACTGTTTTAAATTGCATTTCATCTCCTGCATTTTGCGAGAGGAATCCTTCGTCATGGTTCGTTTTACAAGTTCAAGTCAGCCAAGACAAGTTTAGAAACTGGTCGCTGACCAGAGAATTTGCTACTTTTGTAAGTTCATCAAGGTTTTATCCAGAACCTGATGCCAGTAAAACAGTCACTTCACCAAAAATTCACAAAATTCAGATGCTTTATTCTGACACTCAATGCTTACTTCCATGTCTAGGTCACTCTGGAGGATGTGTGGCTATGCAAGGGCAGCACCCTGTTGGTTATTGGGAAGTGAAAAGCTGTAAGAACTTCAAAGCAATGTCATTGTGCAAGCGAAAAATCAATTCTTATGAAGAACCTGAACTTACTTTTCAAAAACATTTGAGTTCCTGCTATTTTGGGTGGGAGTCGGAAGCTAATCTGCTCAGCTGCTACAAGGTACGTGACAGGTTGCTCTGAATTTTTCTGACTGTACATCGACTTAGGAATACGCTGTTCCCTAGATGTTTTTGATAAAGCATTATTTCTTTTACTCGACAAACAAAAATCAATTGTTACCATCCTTTGCTGTGTTTTAAAGTGAGCAAAAGTCTTAAGACTTGAATCAGAACTATACTTGGAATATACATGGCTTTATTGTAGGAAAAACTGCAAATAATATTTGATTTTTATGGGTTTCTGAAACAACTGCTATCGAAAATCAACTACATTTATGGCAGTGTTTATTTTATTGCAGATATTTCACAATGAGAAAGTCCTGATGAGAAGAACATGGGATGAAGCAGAAGCATTATGCCGAGATTTTGGAGCACATCTTGCTAGTTTTAGCCATATATATGAAGAGACATTTTTAAACAATTTATTATATACAATTTTTGATAGGTAAATCTATATTTTTAACTTATATCTGTCTTAATCATACCTATATGTAAAAATAATCTACAATTTAGGTTCTTCCATCCTCTTTGCAAGTAGCTGAAGAGGTCTCTACTCTTGACTAACTTGAACTTACAAATGGGTGAAAAGAAGTGTATTGGCAGCACTGTAATGTGATTCTTTTTGAAGATGATCTCTGTAGTAGATGTCGAGCAGCTGTTAAAGTGATATTCTTGTGAGTTAACGTTCCCCATTGACGTGGAAGTTCAGCAATTTTAATCCTATTTTAAATGTTTTTATCTTTAAAGATATAATTTAACATTTTAGTAGGAAAACCAGAGTTTACTTCAAGGATACAAAAAAGTTAAATGTATTACAGAATGATATACTGAATTCAAAAAGAAATTAATATGGGTATTTGCAGTATTTAAAAAGTAATCTGTGAACTAGCTAAGGAAAAGTGCCTGAGAAATGTTATTTTCTTTGTTTCTGTCATAGGACAGAAGAAAGGCAGTTCTGGATTGGATTTAATAAAAGAAACCCGCTTTCTGGAGGGACGTGGCAGTGGTCTGACAGAACACCTGTAACTATCTGTACACTACATATTTCAGTAACCTTTCGAGTCATAAATCTGAGTCATTATCTGAGCATAAATTCACAAAAATAAGCCTTGTGAGCAAATGTTGGCCAGGAAAACTGTTTGTTTTTCACATCCATGTACTTCACTTAAAGTAATTGTTACAATAGGATTAATAGTACACTACTATTAAAATAGCAGCCTGTGCAACTGCTAAAGGAATTTGGTAGGTTTATAAAGGTTTGCAGATGCGTGCTTACCTGCAAAGCACGTTGTGGTTAACCCAGGCCCAGGTATGTGCAGAGTGAGTGCATATGTGTGTATATGTATACACGCATACGTTGGAAAGCCTTAGATTTCTGCTTACAAGCTTTATTTGTTCTCTGGCTGTTAGGTTCACACCTGCATTCAGAGCTATGTCTTTCCTTTTTTAATACCACTTTTGATTTTGCATCCTTGAAGATGTTGGTGCCACATGCCACACTAATGGTTAGTACCTGGGATTTAAACACCGAACAAGTGAAGAAGGGTCAGTGTTTAAACTGTAACTGGTTTTCAGCCTTAAAGAGCAGAGTCAGCTCTGCCATCTTTATTGAAGTCATTTCAGAATGCAAGTGCAAAATTCAATGTGTTGAATCGAAGCAAAGGCTGTTAAGTGTGGGCAACCACTGCTAATCATGTAAAAAAATTGTTAGGTTTCATAGCTATTCAATTATTTTTATGATGGAGGAGTCTGATAGAAGATGGGAAAGTTGAACAGGACATTGTGAGAGCATGGTTATGGACCCTACTTTTTGGATTTTACCACCATAATCTAAGTGGTCCTCTAGTTGTTACTTAGGATGTTCTTACCATATACACATGTCCAAATCCTTCCTTTTTCTTCATAACGAGATTTTGAAATGCTTCATCTTGGAATGTCAGTGAAAGATAATGAATGTGCTGGTTTCAGGTTGTATCTTCATTTTTGGAAAGCAAGTATTTTGAAGATGACTCAAGAAACTGTGGTGCGTTCAAAGTAAATAGAACGGTCTTTCCAGCACACTGCAATGAAAAGCGTGAATGGATATGCAAAATACCAAAAGGTGAATTTTAATTAACTTACATTGTCTATTATACCCATTACTTGCAAGTCAGGAGAGACAAGGAAAAAAAAATCGAAAAGCTTGCTTTTTTGCCACATTTGGAGTTCTCCTCATTGGTCTTCTGCATGAAATCCTGGCAAAGCTGTATGTGGCCATTAGGGTTTGTTGGCCAGTTAACAGATCTAATATGTGCAGTCAGTGTAAAAGTGGATAGCAATGCTTAGCAGTTAGTTAGCAGGAGTTAATCAAAGTTCTTATTTATAAAGGTTACTAAAAACGTCATTAAGTAAGTGTGACAATTGTTTTATTTTATTCCATTTTTAACTCCTTTTTTTGTCTCTGAATGAGAATAGCAATATTCTTCATTATTTTGCTCAAATCCTTACTGTGTGGAGAAAGCAATTTTGGTGAAATACCTCTTTTCATTCTTAATCAGTAGTATTTTAATTTATTTATGTATTTTTGCAGGTGTTAAACCAAAGAATCCAGATTGGTACATAGCTGGTATGAAAACATTTTCTTTTTTCACTTCTCGAGACAGTATGATTTGGAAATATAATTTAGGCTATTGGTAAAAATAAAATAACTAAATGTTCTAAGTTGAAAATTTATATTAAGAAACTCTGTAGGAACTTGTTGCTACAAATCAAAATTTGCCATTCTTTTGTTTAGGAACACTGAGACATCAGATACTACTTCGGTTAGGTAAAGGAATGTTGCCAGTAATGAGCACAGGAGTTTGATAATCTCTCCGTCACGCTAACACTGTCTTTTTGCAAAGGCTGGGCAACCCTGTTAACATTAGTGCAGTATCACAGGATGGAATATAAATCCAAAATTTATTCATTGTTCTTTTTTTTTTTTTTTTTTTTTTAAAAAACATAATCTGATATGCCAGATATGGTTCTTCTGTTAGCTGTGGCATATTTGTCCTGTGACGCGTGGCTGAAGGTGGACCATGGGGGTCACAAAGAATGAGGCTTGAAATGAGTTTTCACCGCTGCGCAGCACTGACTCTTTTGCTTGTTTTCTAGAACTGCCGTGGTCATATTATCAAGGAGCAGAATATCTTTTCCATGTCAGTCCTACAGACTGGGAAACCTATGAGTTTGTCTGTGGCTGGCTTCGCAGTGGAATGGCAACAATAAATTCGTCTGGTGAACAAGCCTTTATTCAAAATAAAATTAAGAAGGTAACAAGAACTACCCCTTTGAAAAACTAAACCCTCAGGCAGTAACTGGTTATTTTCTGCTGCATCTTTTAGAATATCTGGCTGCCTCTTGCTCCAGGTAGAGTCCAAAAGACGTTTTACTTTAGAAATAATTCTCTTGCTGTCTTCATTTCCCACATCCCTCCCCGAAGTCCTGTTTAGCTAAACAAGTCAGTAATATTTCAGAATCTGCAGAATCATCTCTGCTAATGAGCAGGTTGGACAGTCTGCCTCAAAAGACCCAAGAGGAGCAAAAACCAGCTTCCCATCCCAAAGTTAGGGGTAAAGAGAACGGTTTGTTTCACATGTGGTGTACATCCTTCTCTGTTTCTTCTTGTTCCCCCACCCCTCCATGACCAAGGGGACCCATTGTGGTTCCTCAGGTGCTCACCCAGCGGTTCTGCATCCACTGGGATGTCTCCTGATCCCGCACAATTCCGATGTCACACTCTGTTCCCGTTCAGTAACTTGCAGCTAATGCCGAGGGACATTTCAGTGGGTGTATTAGCATGACGTGGGCAGTAGGTCCAGATGTTTGAAATGGTCTTCATAGTTTAAATCTTCAATGTGATGATTTGAAAGGTTACTCTTGGGGAGAGCTGGTCAAGAATGAAGAATTACCAATTTCTTTGCACTTTAATTAAATCTAGAACTCTAAACCATAGAGGTGGGTACTTATGACCATGGAAAATAGATTAGATTTTCCTCTGTGTACGCCAGCACATTTGTATGATATCTCCTGAATTAAAACCCCTTTGTGACTATGGATATTTACAGGGGAAAAAGGCACCTGTCTCTAAATTCCCCTCTGGATAAAAGCAGGATTTCTGTAGAACCGCTCCGATGTAACAAACAGATTTGAAGCTGAGAAATAGCTGCAGAAACAGATGAATTCCCAAGAAACTAAGTTTTTTTTCTTTTAGATGTTCTCAGTAAAAGCAAAATAAGGCAAATAAAAAAAATTAATAAAAATAATCCGGTAAATTATTAAAAGGTAAAATTACATGGCTGTAATGTAAAGGGATATCATAATGTAATCTTTCAAAGAACAGCTAGTGCTGGGTAGCAAAGCTTTCGACGCACGCTTAGTTTTGCTTGTGTTGCATACAGCCTTCTCTGCTTTTAACTTATAATTGGAAGCCTAAGTAGAATTGTGCTGTATTAAGATGGCGTTTTTAAGTTTCCAAGGAATTGTGCATTATTTTTATCTGCTATTTAAGTAATTTGTATTAAAACATGATGAACTGGATTTAAACCAACCATTCATGGCAGAAATAGCTTATAATGAAAGAGCAACGTAACTGGCTAGGCTCTCTTCTTCCACATCTACTGGAGACTGTGATGTGATTTCGTTACTGCCTTACCTAAAACTGAATGTTTATGACTTAAAAAATGAGAGAGATGCATTTTTCCAACTTAAGATCACTTAAAATGGCTAATTTGGATGCTTCTTTACAGTCACGTTTACTTACAAGAGATCTTTTTAAAATCATTACAATTAGCGGGTATTACGGCAGTTTGTGACCATTCTGCGATGAAAAAGCCAAGTTTACTCCCTTGGCATTGGAAATCAGGTTAACTTCCTTGAAGTTTTGTCGCAGAATGCAGCATGCGCAGCTATTTTAAAGCCTGCTGCCTTTGGCTAAACTTTCCCAGTATAGCCAGGTGTGTCTCTAAGTGATTGTAACCAGTTTCCTGTGGAAGCAGGACTAAGGATGGCAATCACTAAAATAATACTCAGCGGTCCAAATAGACTTTGCATGTGTCGTTAGAAAACTTGGTCAAAATTTCTTAGCACGGAATTTGAAATCACATTTTTCACTATTTCTTTAAAAACTGTAATGTGTAGACTGAGTGCCGTGATTAGAAATCTAAACTCCGGGGCTAGGCTATACCAAATCAGGCAGCATTCCTGAGTCTCCTCTTGGTCAAAAAGATATATTTTCTTCATTTGATATTGCTAGATGAGCTGTAAGCTGGTGAAATCCTAACTGTACCTCCAAGGAGATTGTGGCTGCCACAACACAGGCTGTACTTCAGTTCTTTCTGGAAAAAAATAAATGCTTCTCAGAGACAGGGTGGCTTTTCCAGTGTCCTGCACTTTTTTCTTTGGCTCTTTCCCAAAGACCCCAGAACTGTGGCTGTTGAGTGGCTAACCCTGAAAGCAAAGCCCGTTCATAGTTTAAGGCAGAATCAAATCAGCAGAGCAATAATAAATGGCTGTTTGAATAACGTTATTTCTGTGATTTATCCATAATACTTCACCTTTTAGGACTGGAGGTCTAGAACCTTTCATGAGAACAACAGTCAGTCTGGAATGCATCTCTAGAAACCTCTTGTATGAGCTATACAAAGTCAGTACACATTCATAGAAAACATTGTGGAAATACTGAGAAGCAGCAGTATATTAATGCTAAAAGGAAATATTTGCTATTGTCTATTTTTAGTAGTTGGGGAAAACCAAATCCAAATTCTGGCCTAAGACTACAGTCCTTTTCAAGCCAGATAGGCAGTAAATTCCTAAAAAGGTAAATTCCTAGTCTAGAAGATACATCAGCAATCCGGTGGAAACTGGGGGCTAAACTATGCTCTACCTAAATGAATAACCTTACTGAAGTGACATAAAGTAACACAGGCAGGATTTAGCGCTTGTTTTTCCCCTTGGAACCCAATGGAGATGCTATTTGTTTGAATACAGAGTCTGACTTTAGGAGTGTGTTAATGCTTTGCTAAGAGGGCAACAACAGCTAAACATACGGCAAAACATTTTTTTATAGCTATCGAATAGTGATGTTCACTGGTGGATTGGATTGCACGCAGAAAACCTCAGTGATGAATTTCGGTAAGAATACCTACGCTTCAGCTGCTGTGAGTTGTACTCGGTGCCCTGCCTGCAGGCTGCCGTTCAGTCCCGTGGGCTGAAACCGTTTGATGACTGAGTGGGATATTCAAGAGGCAACTTCAGTTCTCGTGTAAATATTCAGAATAGATTACCCTTAATTTCATGTTACGGTATTTCTTCTGAAAGGGTTATAAAAGATACAAGGCAAAGACATGAATATCAACCTTGTTCTTGTTGGCTGTCTGGTTTTTTAACGCTTAGTTAATAAAGGGGCACTTTGTACCTTGTATGTGCTTACAAATGCTTTTAATGGAGGGTGTATTTTTAGGTAAAGATAGGAAAAAGTGTAACTACACTCTTAATGTTTCTGTGCAGCTGGAGAGATGAATCACCAGTAACATTCCAGAACTGGAATGAAGGGAGGGGACGAGATCTGCAGAAACCCGGGAAAAGATGTGGCTTCATTTCATCACAAACAGGTTTATTTTATATTTCCTTTTGCTGCAGGGAGTTGTGACTTGATTCTGTTGTTGGCCAAAGGGATTATTTTTTTTTTTTTTCTAAATTGCTCTCAAGAAATGCAATCCATATTAAAGTCCTGGTATATGGTTATAATTTGCATAGCTGCTTTTATGGTTAAGAAAAGAATAGTGAAATATCATTAATATGCTTAGAGACTAGGTTGTAGGATTTTAAACTATATTCAGTTTATAAACAGTTCTCTAATATCAAAATAAAAAGATTCCAGTGATACCAATACTTTAGTTTTACTTAAGAATCTCTTAACGTGACACAGCAAAAATCTTAACACATTGCTGGTTTTCACAGTCACTTTTCTCATAACCAAATGAGCCAGAAGGACTGCACAACAATTTTTCCTACATTTATAAATTGTTTTTCTATCAGTACACAACTTTAAATACTCAGGTTTCTAGCTTATTTTTGATCCTATAGCCAATCTGTTGAGGGATTTTTTGGGTGCCACGGTTTTGATGCTAGCCTTTACATCGTCACATAGCTCTATATTTTAGTACAGTAATAAGCAAAAATTTACAGTGCTGCTGGTTCCAGCGATTTCTGTCATCTCACAGCCTCTGTTTTCTGAAGATCTGCAAGTCACAGGATAAAGTAAACATGTCAGGTTCCACAGAAAGAAAAAAATACCCAGCTTTGTATTTGTGAGAAAAGCTGAAAAAAAAATCAATCCAGCTGCACTCTTGTAATCTCAGCCTCAAAAGTCAAACTGAAGAAATGTAAACCCTTCTTTTTTCCCCCACGTAATATCAGGGTTTTGATTAATGACTTTCAGATGCTTGAGTTTGGCATTACTATAGTTAGTATCGGATAAAAGGAAGAGACGTTCACCCTCCCCCCTCAGCTGGCCAGCAGATGGGAGCTGGTCAACAACTTGGTGTGTCCACTGAAAAATGTATTTTCCTCCAAAGCAGGTCAGCGTTTTACGTCAATACCTGGATCTTGCCAAAAATTTTCAATGTAAGGAAGTCAAGCTATTTTATCTGGAAGGCATCATTTCTATACCTTTCCTCTTTTTTTTGCATAATTAATTTATTTTTTTTAATACATGATGATATAGGCATATGTTATGTGACTCAGTGTAGAAGAATTGGTTTAACATAATAAAATCAACCTGGGAATAAAAGCATGAGCCCCATGGACCATCAAATCCACTGTAATGCGATATGTCCAAATGTATTTGATGTAGAAGCTCATCGTACTCAACCATTAAAGGATATCCTTCTTAACAATATCTAAGCTAGCTAAGAAAAAAACCCTTTCCAATTCCCAAGCCAATATCGAACTGTGGTTTTTCTTTTTATACAGGACTCTGGGGTGATGAAAACTGTACTGTCTCTCTTCCCTGTATTTGTAAACGTAAATTTGCGTGGAAAATAGAGAAAGAGATTCCAAAAGACCAGAACCAACAAGGAGTATGTCCGAAAGGATGGTTGCACTTTGGATTCAAAGTAAAACATTTTTTTTCTGCTGTTTGATTTTTCAAAATGCTTTCCGTATTTATGACAGAAAGTGGACTTCTTAAGGATTATTCAATATTTGAAGGTTTTCTTCCTTTTTGAAGCAGGGCCCTTAGGTTTATAACTACCAGCACAGTGATACAAAGGTTTACAGCTACTAAGTAGCTTTGCACACAGAAGTTGTCTTAGTAAGGTGTCAAAAATTTTACTTTAGTTCAAGGAAGTGAATACTCCTATTGTGTGCTATCTAAGTGTGTTTGTGCATTTGCTGTAAAAGGCCTGCTCCATGACAATCCCAAGTCTTTTATGGTCTCAAAACAGATCTCTGACCCCTTGTTGTACTGAATGGATCCCTAACTGCTGCCATCCTCCAAAAGATGCTGTTTCAAATACAGTTCATCAAAGATAATTACAAACCAAAGTCTATTTGCGATTGAAGGTTGAAAGGCAATTCTTTCATCAGGCTTGTCTTACACATACGTTCCTTAATAGCAACATCCATCGAGTTGGCCAGGTTTATCCTAGTGCGGAACCGCAGTGACTACAAGGATAAATTTAATTGTGTTTGCCTTTAGATAATTGATTCAAATCCAAGCCTGATAGCTTTTTTTTTTTTCTTTTTAAACAGTGCTTTTTGATACAAATTCCGAAGGATCCAGAGCATCTGAGAAACTGGTACTCTGCACAAGAGTTCTGCAGTAGCTATGATGGGTCGCTTGCTTCCCTCGAAGATGAACTGGAACAAGGTAGAGTATTGAAAATATTGTTAAAGAAATAAAATTTCATCTTCATTAGGATGCTGTAGTAAAGTTTCATCTTGGATACAGGTTTTGGAAAAAAGATTGTTCAGATCCTACTTACGGTTCCACTGCTTTAAACAAATTAGTGGGTTTTTTCCTCAGTTTCCCAAAATGTAAAGATTCAAATATTCACTGTGCTACGTGACAGGGACGTTTTGAGGAGTAGTTATAATTGCTTTTGTGCTCACTACCATGCATTAGAAATACAAAAAAATAATGGAATACCCATTTAAAAATTTGCTATGTAAAATTTCTACCTTATGAATGCAACATCACACTGTGATAAAAGCGATCTCATTTTTATTCTTTAATAGAACCTAAAATCTGATCTACAGTATAGCATGTAGGCATAGTGCTAGGCTGGAACTGTCAGAGAAATAAATGTCAGCACATTTGGAAATATTTATAATCCCTATTCATAAAAATCTGTGGTTGAATTTCATACATTTGTAAAAACACTTATTTGGAGGTAGGAGGAATCTCACTGGCTATCTTTTAGTTGAAACATCTTATTTTCCACTAAAACTGAGAGAAGCTTTATCAATGGTACAGTACCCTCAACTAATACTTAAGTTGTTCAAGGTGCTGTGAACATTTCTGGAAGACTTACTAGTTAATGGACTAGATCCTAACCCAACTGAAGTTAATCAATTTACCTGAATTTATAGTTAGATGACATTGAGATGCCACTCATGTTCTTACTTTCTAGTTTCTTACTTTCTATATTACTATATAATGCCGTGGATTAATAATTTAATTTTTTAGTGCTTTAGTGTGTTGGAAGAGACTTCATCTGTCCCTGAATGGTTACTAGTTAATTATATTTTATTCCTGTTTCATTTTCCAGCTTTCATTACAATGAATCTATTTGGACGGAAAACTAGTGTTTGGATAGGTTTCCAGAGTGATGATTATGAAAAATGGGTGAATGAAAATCCTCCGATGTATTCCAACTGGTCTCCGGTTGAAGTAGTGCATGTGAGTGTTTCCAGGGGGGTTAAGGACAGTGGGAAGTTGTTTTATTCATAAAAATCATGACTGCCACAAAGACAAGGCCTAAGTTGTTACAGCAACTTAGTCTTCTCTTGATTTTTGCAACTTCAAACAACTGTGGGCACAGATTTATGGGCGTAACTTGAGGTAGCAAAAAACAGGGCACTATCGAGGCAGTTATTTACGTAATTTGTGGCTATAGTTGCATTCTCTTGCAATTGCTTTTAAGCACCAAAGTTTGAACTATACGGTTAGTATCATATGCTGGGTCTGAGCAAAGTTTAGATTTTGAATTTAGTATTTTAATATATTGTTCTACACCATGTGAGTCCGTATTTGGCTTAGCATTTTAGTTTGTTCAGTGAAAGCTTGTGACTTTTACTATGAGGTTACTGTTTCAAATTGCATTTATGGGAGTGTTCATTGTTCTACCTAAATATTTATAATAGTGACTTTCAGATAATTATTCTTCTAAATTTAATGTAATAATTATGCATTGTTTTTTTACACAGTGTCTTTTTTAATTAATATAAGGTTCTGTGTTGATTGCAGAGACAGCGTTTTAACAGTCCAAACATCCAAGAACAACTTCCACTATGTACATTAGTATCAAATAACCCTAATTTTTATTTTACGGGAAAATGGTACTTAGAAAACTGTCAGAAAAATTATGGGTTTGTCTGCCAAAAGACTCAGGGTAAGATTCTGTTTTGCTTTGCTTCTGTTTTCTTTCCTTACTATATTGAATTAATCTTAGTATATTTTCACCTAGAAGTAGCTTGTTATAGGTGTCTATTAAGCCAGAAATGTAACAGATTTCTAAGATATTTCTACTCTGATATTTAGACAGACTAGCTCTACACTATTTAATAAATCAATAGCTGTGATGGAGAAGTAATTTCTAAAAAAAATACATTGTTACTAAGTTTTCTTCCTAACTTTGAGCTTTCTGTTGCTTATCTTAGATTCAGGAATAGAGATGGAATTTCATGATTTCTGTCATGGCAAGCAGAGCAATAGCATGAGATTACAAAAGACAAAATTGAGGGTAATTTTGATTAAAATATGGTATTTAAAAAAAATTAGGTGGGATTTGCAATATTAGATCAGAAGAGACTCTAGAAAATGTATTTCTGTAAACAGTGTGGACCAACTCGCCGATAAAATAGAGTTTGGCTTTTCTTTTCACACTTCTCCAATTCCATTGCCATAAAGTTCGCTTGCCAAAAGCACGAAGCTTTTGCGGGGAAGTCACGCTGCTTGGTTTCCTCAAGCCATGTTCCAGCGTTGCCTCTGGGACTGGGAGCCGGTGGCACCCCGGGGCGCTCGGGCAGCTTTGGAGCCCCGTCCCAGGCGCTGCCGCAGCTCTGCGAGCCAGGACCTGCCACAGCGTGGTACCAAAAATAAACCAGGAGCAAATGATTAACCCTAAAGCAACGGCAGGGCTGTAATCCGAGTCTGTAAGGAGCGTCCTCCAATGCCGGACTTACACGGGGGTGGTTTTACATGGCTCGGCTTTATGTACCACCTCTTAGTTAAGCCCTGGGTCTAAAGAGAGAATCCTCTCCTGCGGGCTGCCTAGGAGGCCAGGGAGAGAGAAGTAGAATAGACAAATAGAAGCTTTGGGCAGTGCTCACGTGTGGCTCTAGCAAACTATAGCCGCGTTTGACATTATTTATTATGAACTGCAGTTGTGGGGAGTGCTGGAGTAATCCTGCACGTAGTGTAGAAAAAAAATAAATGCGTTTTCCTGCTGGTTTGTTTCATTTACCTCCCGAACGTTTGTATTTTAACCCCTTGCTGCTGTTTCAGACAGATGGAAAAGGCGTTAAAAGGCGGGAAAGGAAACTGTTG